TGAACCCGTATATATGTTCTATCTAAAGCACCCAAACAATTCTAACAGGATAGCAAAAACAGGGAAACATTAAATTAATTTCTAGATAATGTCATAAGCAAACAAATATGAAAATGATAAACTGAATGGGTACAATGTTTACCTTGAACCATTTCCATCTGTCATCAGTTGAATTCTCCAAGATGGGATCTGGTTTTTTCAGTAGAATTCTATGCAATCTCAACACAACTTGCATCACGCTATGGAAATTTCATGAAACTGTCTCACTAGATCTTTTTGTTTGTCTTTTAAGAACTCTATTCTTCACATGGTGCGCAATTATGTGAAGAAAACTAGCCACCATCTATTCTATAGTTGTATTTCTAGTTGATGCTAACCTGCCAATACTTTTTAGTAAATGACATAACTTATCAAACGATTTGACATCCATTCTACAATTCTCAAGACATTGTGTATCACTATCGAAAACCATGTTCTGTAAATTGACTGACCTAACATTATTCTATCAATTCGCTCAGCCGCATATCTTATAGGACGCCTACCCATTGCTCTCAAATAACGTCTACCCCTGTAAGTTATAAAACCCTTAGTATTCCTATTCCTATGCAGCATAACAAGCCCAACAATTAGAAGCATGGCGAACATGCTTTCCATCATGTGCAATTGCAAAAGTAAGATTGTGACCAAACGCATCTTCTACCTTAGGGGTAAACGGGCCATGATTGTTTCACCTACTCCATGTACCAACAAGCGTAATGTTACTCACAAACACCTATACCATTTCACTTCACAATTTAAAGTACATCAGCACCGAAACCACTACACTAGACAGTCAAGACAAACTATGGAATGACAACCACCCAAACCCAAACAACAAAATGTAAAACCCAAAGGCTATGAATGCATACATTTTAGGAAGATACAGCCAGCCATTTCAAATTGCACATCACAAAAAACAGAACATCCACACAATCATTGTATCACACATGCATACCGCCTTAACAAACCCAAATTCAAACAACACAATTTGAAACAAAACAGGGAAGCATAGCCCAGAATTTAAACTAACATGCTCCATTCTCTACAGCGACCATATCATATTAAAAACTAAAGACCATCAAACCATGCCCAAACACTGACACTTCGAACAAGATAATCATGCCAACAACAGTCCCCTTTTCATTCGAACACAACATCAATATATTTGGGAGCAGTTCCGTGTATGAATGGACAAAAAAATTGACCCTTTTCGTCGAAGTTGTTTGATTACTGAAAATGGCGAATTGAATCACACAAAATACAGTATTACAGAACTCACCTAACTCGATTAAAATGACAAAGATTGACAGAGACAAATTGCTACACTTCGGGACTGGAACTACTCGACGACGAACAAAAATCAACGCATTAGTGTACAATTTAATAAACAACGACACAAATGTTTGGTGAAAGGAACCAACTTGGTGTGCTTCGTGTCGATTGGAGAAGAAAGAGAACCCTGATAGCACTGCTGGTTTTCGTTGTGGAGGAAAAGAAAAAACAATGGTGGATTAGGGTTTAATTGAACATATAATATGTATTTGTAGTTTTTTCAAATATCAGGGGCTTTTTTTGTGTGGGGGGCAGAAAAGTCATCCTAACTCAATTTGGGAAACTTGTAATTTAAAAAGATATATAAGGGCAAATGTGTCCGAAATGATAAAATGTTAAGGGCAAAATAGGGTAAAAATTATGACTACCTTAATAATCTAACATTAACACTCCCTGGGAAGGTAATCTGATTACCCCCAATATTATCAATAGGAAACACTATTTGCAATAAAATGTTACTGTAATATTATATTACTTGACAACCAAATGAAAGAATCTTGAAAATTAAACAAAGATTATATGACTAATCTTATTTCACCCCGAACCAAACGCACCCTATATCATTTCTAATATTATTGGTAATCCGGAATCTAAAAATATATTTGACATGCTTTTTATTTGATTAATTATAAAATGACATGGTATATCAACTATACCTAATACTCTCTCACCCTTCTCGGTCTATTGACTTCTTTTAATTTTTTTTCTTGCGAATTATGAGTAAAATCAATACTAGTCATGTGGATAATTTGACAAAGTAAAGTGGACGATAAATTTTGTTATTGAAACAAATAATTTTCAAATATTTTTAGCTCCCATTCTCTCTTCTTTGTACCCTATTTAACTCTTTTTGTTTTTTCTTCTTTTTTTGTTGTATAGTAGTATGATTTTGAATTCTCGACAAATTGTAAGCAAGTTATAAAATTTGCACTAAACTCTTTACTTTTTATTGATCCAAACTTCTGATAATATTATGTAATTGTAAATTTGTAACCCCATCGAAATTATACATGTCTATTAACATAATGATTTTTAATTACTTCGTCACACATGATTCCAATGCTTATAAAAGTTTGCCACAAACATACTTATATAAATAAGGATTTTATAACTAATTGATAGAACTTCCTTAACTTTAAGTTCCAAAATAAATAAAAATAAAACTTCTATTGGTCATTCAAAAATATCTTATTGATAGTAATTGAAAAATTATCTTTTTTTTTTTTTTTTATCATTAATCTTTAAAATGTTTTGAATTACAATTTAAGTAAATTTTAGAATAAAATAATAAAAAACAAGTTTCACATACTTTTCATTTTCAACCAAAAAAAAAAAAATCTTATTTGATTCGGATTAATTTTCAAAATAATAATCCTAATAAATAAACAAACATATATTCTGTTTTTTTAATCTAAGTAGGATAATAAAAAAATGATCGAAAAGAGTGAAACAAATAGGGGGTATAGCCTTTTTTTATTTTTTATAAGATTTAATTGCAATTCATCATGAAATATTACCTATAAGTAATTTCATTCTCAGATATTTGAAATAATAATTTACTTTGATCATCAATATTTCATTAGGGTTTCAGTTTCTAATTTAATGAACCAAAGATAAAACATGTTAGTAAAACAAAGAAAGCCCCTAATTAAAGAAATGATGGAAATTGGTAAATTGTTGTTCAATGATACTTTAAGGAACATAATTAAGGGTTGTCTTAGGAGATATTAGAAGACAAATAGATTTACTTATTTCAATAAAATATTATGTAAAAAAACAAAAACGTAATTTCAAACCAAATTTGTGACCTTTAGATATGTTGATGTACTAAATTTAATCTTTTAACGTCTTTATTGCTGACACCGACGTTTAATCAAGTTCTATAATGATTATGTTTCTTATTTCCTTGGTATTCATTCCCTCAGTCTCTTATATATCTCCGTCAATGTGATGTGACTTACATTAAAAGAATAGGGTGAGCCTGAGCCTAAAACGATTTTGTCAAGAAAAGCAAAATGTTATCATATTGATTACCTAAAGTTACTTTGTCATCCATAAAATATTGGATTAACGTACAATCATTATTGTTCAAAACGCCAAATTTGTGGACATCATATGGCTGTCACGCTCTTGCCTGTGTGCTCATGGGCTGGCTTCTTTCACATCAAACACCACCCTCTTCCACCCACTACCACCACCACAAAAGTCCTTTTCTCCTCCTCTTCATCCATCGATGGCCATGCCGACAAAACATTCTTGACCATAACTTTTTTTTCCCAAGAAAATGTGGAAATTAACACGTGCCATATTAAGATATTTTTACCAATAATGAATTTGTTTGATTTATTCCATGAGATCATTTAACATGAAATGCATTAGTATTGTATATCTCGATAATGCCTTAAAAATATCAAATTCCTATGTTCTCCTATCAAGTTATCAAAACCTTCATGACAAAGGATATTATTTAATACTTCGTAGTAAAAGTTTAAATTTATATTAAAAGAAGTGGACTCAAATACATAATCTTTAAGAATTTATTCTACAATGGGTTTATTTCATGTCACTGTTTGTTATGCCTTTGAGTGTTTTGACACTTGACCTTGAGTTTAACCAATATAGTATCATTAATGGTGGAAAATTTGGTTAGTTTTAAAATCACAAAATACATAGCCAAATTGAAATCGAGTTCCTTATCTCATTGTGTCGTCTTGTGAATAATTGGACCTCAATAAATTCCAACAACCAAATCAACTTGAGATCAGACCTTTTTCTGGTCAATTGACCCATGCCTAATATGAAGCCGACAAAAATGCAAAATTTTCAATCTCATTTTTTCTTTAACTTGTGCAAATGGATCTAATTAATATCCTATTAATTCTGAATTGGACACGTTGTAATTTTGTTTTTCAATTGTAATATCTATTTTTATGATTATACATTCAAATTAAAAACAAAAAACAAATTGCAGGGTGGCCAAAAGTCAAGGGCTATTCTTTCCTAAGATTAATTATCTAGGGACCGCAACGTTGCAATCAAACTGAAGCTATTTTCAAAGATTTTGTCATTTTGTTAATGAAGACGTATAACTTCTTTCAATTTATTTTTTTATTAAGGCAAAGTAATTATTCATTAGACATATTATTTTATAGTAGGATAGTATATTCGTAAAATTGAAATCCCAATTGATGATGTATTTGATGACGAATCAAAGTTATATTAATTATAGGGAAATAAGTAGTTTACCATATCAAATGGTATAAACAAATCATCTGACATAGCACTTGAGATTTCAAGTATGCATCCTAGCATTATTGTTAAGAATATATAATTGAAGATTCGCACTTAAAATTTTTCCTGTTATAATAAATTTGAAATTTTCTTTTAGAGTTAGGAGGCGTCACTGAAAAAGTTATTGGCAAAGATAATCTCTTGATCTTTTCCAAGTATACAAGTTTCATTTGTAATTCTCTTCCTAGGTTTCCTAGTTGGTTCATTCTCTCCCTTGATGTTACACAATTATTATTTGAACATATCACAACATACAATTAGATTGCATCTAGGAATTAAAATAAAAATTCCCAACTTGTTTGATTTAACCTCCGTATAAAAATATTATCATATGTTTCAATTTCGTCCGCACTGATGTCAGTATATGCATGTGGTTCTGTTCCATTGGTCCTACGTACAATCTTTTTCTCCATCAATACAAAAATTCACCTCCATTTATTGTGCAAAACAAGTGAACAATGCTCAACCATCTGTTTCTCAAGCGTTAGAGAATTCTTCTACAGTATGTTCCATTCCCTGTCCATTCAATGCTCATTGCAATTATGCAAACATATTTTTATTCCTTGCACGAGTTGTAATTCCCTTTTGAGCTGATTTTGTGCTTAGTGGATATACTATTTCAGATTCTTCAATGATCCACTGAATTTTTTTTTTAATGCAGAAAGGCAGTGTCCTGAGCTGAGTTGAGCTAGAATTATGGAGGAGGATAAGTGTAAAGAGCCACTCTTGAAGAGGAAATACTATGAGAATTGCTCGGGGTGTAAAGTTGAGCAGCTTAAAGAGACAAAAAGAGGCTTACCAATTCGAGAACTTGTTTCTATATGGATTGTTGTGCTTTGCACTTGTAAGTAAATGACAAAAAAAAAATTAACTTAAATGGGTTGTTAATTGTAGAATTCTGCATTTTCTGTTCTTTTTTGGAATTTTTTCCTGATATGTGTTGATCTCTTGTTGTATTAAATGTTTTCAGCACTGCCAATATCATCTCTCTTTCCCTTCCTCTATTTCATGGTGAGTATTTGATATAAAAAGCTGTTATCTTCGTCTTGTTATATATTTACATCTCAAACGAGTTTGAGAAGTGAGAAAATTATTATTATTTACAGAATTTGTGTTTTCTCTATTGTATAATTATTTCAGATTAGAGATTTTCACATCGCAAAAAGAGAGGAAGATATTGGCTACTATGCTGGCTATGTGGGTGAGATAATTTTTTGTTCTTCCTCTTTAATATTAGTGTTTTGTTTCTT